CTTGAAAACTTTGATCCTAATTCCTGTCCACTTTGTCCTCAAGTTTGAAACCCACCCTCTTAATCCATTTAACCCAATCGTTCCCAAAAACCCAGTACACATAGATATACTATTATACATTCTCCCCATAGAATACATTCTCTCTATATGACCACCATATTACATTTGACTCGTTATCCCTGAAATGATTTCTAAGCTTCGGGGACGAAGCTTCTCGTAAGGGGGGGAGAGTGTAACACCCCGTGTTACGGCCTTCAATCCCGGATTAATTATTTAATTAATCCCGTTAATAATAATTAAATATGATCTAATTCGGTTAGGTTTCCCTTTAATTAATTAATAAAGGCCCACCATGAACCGTGGACCCTTGCCTAAATTAGAGTCTTAAGCCTACTAGGAATAAAGAAAGTAAACCTTTTACTATTCAGATTATGATTAGGATTCTCTTTAATTAATTAATATGGTCCACTATGGACCATGGACCCTTATCCCTAAAACAAGCCCTTAGTCCCAAAAGGAATAGAATTAGCAAGCCTATAATATTAGTTCCTAATTAGGACTCCTAGGTATATAAATAAGGGACTTAAGAGGCACCTAGAACCCCCACCACAATAATCCCTCACCACACAAGAAATTCCAAGAATTCCCCTAGGAGAAATCAAGAAAGAAGAAAGCTTCAAGAAAGACCCTTCATAGCCAAGGAATTAATTAAGGCTAAAAGGTAACCCATGTCTCAACAAAACCTATTTTCATAGCTATGATTTCCCTCTTAGGATTTCCCCCATATTCTTGTGTGTTGATGATTCGTTATAATGATCTTGATAATTGGTGTTATGATTCCATGGGTAATCTTGATGATAAGAGGTTCTTGATGATTATAAGGTGTTCTTGGTGTTCTTGATGATTATATGATGTTCTTGATGTTTATATGATATTCCTACCGAATCTTGATATTAGAACCTATTTTGCTTTTGTCTCAGCATATCTTTCATCAGCAGAGGATTCTTCGCCCCCCAAGATGAATTGTGTTCTTGTTGATTTAAAATAATTAGAACCCTAGGTTATATCGTGGAATTCGTATGGTATTATTCTTGGTAGATTGGGTGGGAATTTGTATGCTTGGGTGTTGATTATGTTTAGAAAAGCATGATAGGATATGTGCCGTATGTTTCTTGATTTTGATCCGTTAATTGTCTACGTGTGTTATCAATTGCGTTTGAAAGTGTCTAAGCATGGTTCCGGGTTCCACAGTGGTTCCCAGGGCGTTTATTTGTGAAGAAGAGTCAGTGGGGGGTAGGGGACCCGCCACCTACCCGCGGCTAAAAGTGGCATCGCCGGCAGCGGGCAGCTACCCGCCGGGCACCCGCTGCCCGGAATAGTTGCCGTCGGCGGGCAGCCGGCCGGTGAACCCTCACCCACCGGCTACCAGCTGGTTTGTACCCCACCTTGGGATTTTGGCTTCCCCGTTTGATGTTCCCCCGACCCCCGTGGTGTCCCAACGGACTCCGTCTATCGTGCCTATGTCTAGTTTGATATTTCGGGTACCGTTTGTAGGTTGTATGAGTCTTATATATTGCATGCTAGTTGAATTGGTATCCCGTTGACCTAGGTTAAAGAAGTATGAACCCCTTAGGACTATTCTTAGTATGTGAAGGATCACGCATAGGTTTTGTTATACGTTTTCTCCCCCTTCCCAATGTGTTAATGTGGGTTGCATGTGCTTGCTATGTGTTATGTGTGCATGATACCCCAATTTGGTTGCGATCAAATTGGTTATACGGGCAGTCGGATGGGTTGAGAACCATACCGACTGTTAACCAGGCCGGTTGCGATTGGTCAGGTATATAAACATTATATAGGGTTGCGGTCCACCGTTTGGTTGCGATCAAATGGATTATACGGGCAGTCGGATGGGTTGAGAACCATACTGACTGTTAACCAGGCCGGTTGCGATCGGTCAGGTATATAAATATTATATAGGGCTGCGGTCCACCGTTCTACATGAGCTGCGGTTCATTTTCCTGGCTGCGGTCAGATGACATACTCTTGGGCTGCGGTCCACTGTTTGGTTGCGATCAAACGATGATGAGCTGCGGTTCATCGGTCGGTTGCGATCGACCCCTCCGTATTGTGAGACGGGGCAAGGTGCTGCGGGGCCGTGTCAGATCTATATGCACTGACCCTCAGGTATGGGCATGCGATTAGTCCTGTGGTGCCAACAAAGTGTGCTTATGTGATGAGATATGGATGAGTTGTGATTATGAGTATCTTGGGGATGTGACTACAGGATTTATGTTGGGGATTGTTTATGTTGGGTTATGATTATTGATTATGCTCAGCCTTATCTACCTTGCCTGTTGCGAACTATATATGCTTGCTATAATTGCCGTTTGTGCTTAGCTCTATGTGTCGAGTCTATCCCTGTTTTAAAAGCTAGAGTTTGTAGGTTATATCTTCATGTTCAAAATGGTTTTCGTATATCTATATATATCTCTATATGTATTATATTTCAACGCGTTGGAGTGGGTTACCAGCATCTCTCGCTGAACAGATATATTTTGCTTTCAGGCACAGAAGAGTAGACACGGGAGCATGCTAGAATCGTGGAGCATAGAAGTAGATAGTTTCCCTTTCGGCCTGCGTGCCACGGTTATGCATTTACTTTGTTGAGGATATTAGTTAGTTAGTCTGTGCACCTGAGTTCTCTAGCTCAAGTGTGGCATAGCACCCCGTACTCTTTATATTATGTTTGGGATTTAATGAGATCTTACCTTCTTTATATAATTTTCAAAAGTTTCGAAAATCTGGGGTGTTACAAGTTACCTCTTAGCCTTAACCGATTTCCCGTGGCTACTAAGGTTCTTCCTTAAGATTCTTCTCCCAATTGATCTTCCTAAGTTTGCTGGTGTGGAATTTCCTCGGTTGGATTTCCTGAGAGTATTTCGAGTAAGTAGAGGGTGAGGGAGAGTTCTATCTGCTTCCTAATATTCTATTTATATGTTTAAGGGAGAACTATTCAGAATCTGACTAATAAGTCCCACTTTCCTTATTCCCTATGGGCTTAAGGTTCCTAGTTCAAGCAAAGGTCCACGATCCATCGCGGACCGCCTGGATTAATTGAGAGAATTATAATTGGATTAAATCCCTCTTAATTAATTTAATTAACGGAATCAATTTAATAATTAATTCGGATTTGAAGGCCGTAACACGGGGTGTTACATTTGTACCGAGGGGATTGATATGACGCTTTAGGGTGACATCGGCTTCTGGCTTTTAGAGCATCGTTCCCACCCTTTGTGTAGGGCATGGCGTGCGAGAACTGTCCTGCTTGGCTTGTGGTTGCTTATAGCTTGTAGTATGGGCCTTGGGTCCACTTGGTTTATTAGAGTTTTTCTTCTTTGCTTTTTAGCCTTTGGTCATCTTGTTTTAGGTATCTCATGTACTATTTGTAGTTATGGTCACTTTTGGGCCTGTCAAGTATTACCCTTTCAGTATTAATAAAAACTCATTTTTTTTTAAATATTCATTCCCATGATATAAACACTCAACAATTCAAGAACAAGCATTCCAAATAACTCCTTAACAAACATGTCATCTCCCAAGGTGCAATAGTAAGTGCAATTGTGGGTACTCTAAATTATGCCATAACTCCCACTAAGACGTAAAGATAGCAGAAACGAGTGATTTAGGCCTTTAATTACTAGCATTAACAAAATATTGAACAAAATTGCAACACAAGCTATAAAACCCAAATGTAAAATATATTAATGAATTTAAGAACTAGGCACATAGGTTCATAAACACTTTCACCCAAAAATCCCTAAGTTGTTTTAGCCACTCATGGCTAGAATAACATTCATAGCAATAATATAAGAGAGTTTAAAAGAAACAAAGAAAGTAAAAGAAAAGGGTAAAAGATTCTCCCGAATCCTCCTAGCTTTTCCTCCTTCATCCAAGGTAACTTGTGGCTCTTGATGTCTCTCACTCTTTTTGTCTCCAAAAAAACGCAGCTTAGGTCTAGGGTTTGAGGAAGATGGACCTTTAATAGTGGGAGCCAAATAGGGGTAGATTAGGAATTTCCGCACAACTTAAATCCCGCACAACACGCATTTTCGACAGTGGGACTCGACGCGTCGAGTGTTGTCTTCATTCTTCAGGACGCCTACTGGAAATTTTTGACGCGTCAAATTTGCTTCTGCATCACAGGTCCAGTTCATAAGATATATAGTCCTTCGAGTTTTCTTTCCAATGGCGCAAGAATCACTTGAATAGGACATTCCTAGAATGAGATATGATCAAAACACCGAACTGTTGCCAATCTATGCTACAATTTTTACTTCTCACTCTTTTGCTCCACTTTTGCCTTGGTTTGCCCAAGTGATCAATACCATTGAAGCTAAGAAACCATTCTTTGGCTCCCTTTGAAGTATTTTAGCCACCTCCTTAGCTTCACCTTCGTTCCCAATGACTCGAGATTCATTCCAAATACCCCGAAAGGCATACGATTGGACTTCAATTCAATGGTTTATGCACCTAAGGATATAAACAAATGAATTAATGCACATTTTGCATAAAACCAAAGTATCTTTCACTCAAAATGGGTCTATATATATATATATATATATATATATATATATATATATATATATATATATATATATATATAAACACACTTATCAATAATCCTGATAGTTTCAGCCATAGGCTTCATACGGTCGTGATCATTGTCAAACGTCAATGAAAAAAAGAAGGGCGATGAAGATTATAGTGTATGTGCATAGCGCGTGCGTGAGTACGGAGTGAGAATACAATCAAGTTAGATGGTCGGAGACAAATATGGGGGATCCTCATTCCTCAACTCCATCATCCAATTCAAAGAACCGCTGCGCTCCTCATCTTAGCGCAGGTGGTGTTCCAGCTAAATACCAATGTTTCTTTTAGTGGGATCAGTTGTGCCTATATAATTACAACTTAAAAGCGTTTAATTTGATTTTCAGTAGATTTTGTTTGCTCCACATCAAATATAACTCTGCTACCAAGGACCTTGTGGTCCACTGGTATTCGGTTGCTCCCCTTTGTGGGAGGTCTAGAGTTAGAGTTTGAGCCTTGATGTAGGCGTAGATTGGTAAATATGGGTATCCATTTCCTTTGTAAAAAATAAAATATGACTAATCTAATAGACTTGAACATGTAAATAAAGTCTATAAAAGAATATATAATAATAGCAACAACATTTTGTTAAATAGTTATCAAATTTTAACGGAAAAATTTTTGCTCATTTGAGGGTATAGTTGGAGTATTTTTGGGTTTAATGGTTTAAGTGCTATTTTTGTAAATGAGTTAATGCCATATGGGGTCCTCCGAGTATAGTGCATGGTTTTGTCACGTTTAGTCCTAAATTTTCAAATTAACCACCTGTAGTCTTTAGATAAATTTCAAATTATTACCATCTGTGGTCCAAGTTAACCATCCATGCATTGTCCTTTAACTTTCAAAATTTAACCAACTGTGGTCCTCTTGTAAGGACCATGAGTGGTTAACTTGGACACGAACGGTAACAACTTGAAAGTCGAAGGACTACGTGTGGTCAATTAAAAATTTTAAGACTAAATGTAGCAAAATCAGTATAATCGGAAGACCCCATATGGTATTAACTCTTTCGTAAAATTTGAAAGGTATATTTCATCTTGGGAAAATAGCACTTTTTCCCCCTGATTTATATACTTATAGCACTTTTCCCCCCTCAATTATTTAGGTAAGCACATTAGTCCCCTCAATTATTCTAAAACTGGTGCTTTTTCCCCCTGATATATTAAATTGACATTTCTATCCTTAAAGTAAATATTTTATTTATTTTACTTCTCCAACAAATTATTGCGTATACGTAGGGATGACCACGGTTCGGTTTGAACTGAACCGGACACTAAAGCAATCGAATTAAAAGTATCCGGTTATGATTCAGATCTAAAACACAATATTTAGATGTCAATTTATTAAAATTATGTATAAAAAATTTGAATCTTGAACAGTAAACCGGCGGTTTTGGATCCGGTTCGCGATTTTGAACTGTATTTATTTTAAAATTTTAGTTTTTATTTTAAAATAGTCTAAATTCAACAATAAATGTATTTTATTTTTTTCAGTTCGGAACATGAACAGTCCGTTCCGGTTCACGATTTTAATAAACTCTAAATATAGGGTTTCGATTCAAAATTGTAATTGGAATATTTTGGTTTGGTTGCTATAGTGTTTGTTTGGTTTGAACCAAATTATGGTCATAATTTGTTGGAGAAAAAAAATAAATGAATTGTTTATTTTAAGGGTAAATATATCCATTTAACATTTCAGGGGAAAAAATAGCCACTTCAATAATTCAGGGAAAAAAATGCTATAGGTATATAACTCAGGGGAAAAAAGTGTCATTTTACCTTTCATCTTTATTCTTTTGTAAGGGCATATCCCATTCTTCTCATATATATATATATATATATATATATATATATATATATATATATATATATATATATATATATATATATATATTTTTTTTTTTTTTTTATCTCCCCTTATCATATAATTTTTCCCTTATTTGTTCTCTTCAATCATCCACGTCATTTTGTGGGCCCACTACACATCATTTATTACTTTATTCACTTCAAAATAATTATAATTTCAATGTTTTATTTTAAATTAAAATAAATTGAAATAAATAAATAATATACTTTTTGAATTAAAAAATAAAATTTCAAAAACTAAATACTAAACAAAAAAAAATACCATTGAAGTAAATATTTTCCCTAAAAAAAATAATTTAAAAATAATAATTTTAGCCTCAATAGTCAAAATAATTAAAATCGTTGAGGTATATCAATTGTAGATGGTCGCCTTCTCGGGTAGATGACGACAGATTTTTGCCGGATATGATGTCTGAATTGAAATGACCTATAATAGCAGGTCATCTATCAATTCTTGGGCTTCATTGTCTCGATTTAACATGTTAAAGTCTAAATAGTGTAATTGCACTTTTTAAAAGTTTAATGACCTAATTGACTTTTCAGGTAAAGTTTAGGGACTTATTTGACCCTTTTTCAAATTATAAATTACTTTATAAGTATTGTACTATTATTTTTTTTATCGGGCACAATTATTGTTAGTGGGTGGGGGGGATTTTTAGAGTAACAAAGCATATATATATATATATATATATATATATATATATATATATATATATATATATATATATATATATATATATATATATATATATATATATATATATATATATATATATATATATAAATGTAGGTGATAAGCGCGTCAAACGATGCTAGTTTTTAGGAGATTTTTGGAAGTATTTTGCACGTGTTTTAGCCCTAAGAATATTTGTTTCACAAAGAATTATCTTAAAAATAAGGTTTAGCACAAAGATACCTTCCAAATCATACTTTTTATGTTTTAAGGTATTTTTGGACAAGGAAAGTGAAAAAGGAAGATCAAAACGCAAAATCCGAAAAGCACATGGCAAGGCACGAGTCACGGTGTGACGGAAACGTAAAGCATAAGAAAATTTGTCACACCATAGTCACGCATAAAGGCGGAGAGAATGAGAATTATTTTCCATTTACACCGCCTTCACAGCGTAACGGATTGCGTGACAGAATAGAGTGAAGACGCGCGCGGAAGGGGGAATTATTTTCCACTTACACCGTCACCACGGCGTAAGAAGCAGCGTAACCAGTCATTTATGCCCGCGTCACGCATAAGTCGTTAACTCGTCGTTTAATTAGTTGTTAACTTGATTGTGTTGTCGATCACTTGGCCCGCACGCACGCTCTACGCACGGATAGAGAAATTTTTGCAGAATTCCATCGTGCCAAGTAGACGAAGGGGGGAAGGAAGAAGACAGAAAAGTAGCCAACGCGATGTGAACTATGGCCACCCCACCTAGCAATTAAGTGTAAGAAATATATGTTAGTGGCCGGCGAAATATATATATATATATATATATATATATATATATATATATATATATATATATATATATCAGATTACTTCAATTTCTTTAAAATATATTCCATATATCCTTAAAAACACACATTCCCATAGTACATTATAAAAAATTAAACAACCTAATTAACCCCCTAATAGTGACGGTACTTGACGGCGGCGTAGTAGCCGACAGAGATACCCAAGGCCATGAAGCCTATGTAAAAGATGGCCACCTTCCTCCATTTTCTGTTCATTTCCGCCTTGCAAGACGGGCAGTTGTAGCAAAAAATGCTTTGGTAGTTAATCCAACTTTCTTCATACGGAGACATGATCCAGGTTGTCTGTTTCTGGTAGATGAAGTAGTTGCCGCTGGGTGACCGTAAAACTTCATCGGAAACAATAACAATCGGCTTGTCCAGGGAACACGACCACCCTATGAAGCCGATGGCTGAAACCAGGAAGATCAACACCATGAAGCCCATCACCTCCTTGTCAAGAAAACGTCGGGACGCGGTGGTGGACTGCCATATCCCACATAGCAACACCGGGATTGTAAACAACAATGTGGCTGTCATCATAGCTCCGAAGACTCTGCTGCTGGTAACCATCGTCGCCCTTTTTTCACGTCTGATCAAATAAAAACGCTGAAGATAGATATTAGAGCAAGTGTTGTCTGAAATATATAAGAATTTAACAAAGTAAAGTTAGTGAAATTTAGACTGCTCAACCTCGGAAGCTAATTCGCGTGAAATTCCACTCTCCTCTGTCTCACTCAAGTGAATTGGTTTCGAGAGCAATCGCACCGATCTACGAGAGGAGCTGATAGATGAGTAAGCTTTCCCTTGTTTATAAATTCGCAATCCACTTTAGAAAGCCCTGAGCAAATCCCGGCAGAATGAGATTATAAACTTCAGGATGCTTCTCTCTTGCATCTTTCCGACTGGAAGGAGTTCGCTTTGTTTGGGATCAGTGTGCGCCTCTTCACGAGGGTGATTTAAGTGCTGCGTACGATTAGCCAGCCTTGCGGCGGCAAAAGGATTATATTAGACGTCCCCCCAAGTTCGACTTGCGAACGGTCAGCAAGTGAAGGACCGATCTTCCGCTGTCAGGGTTTCCAAGTGCATGTATCTCACTAGTGGTTTGAATCTATATAGTCAGCGGGGGCCACCGGAGCTAAATATATAGGATGAACAAAATTTGAGATATTTTGTAAATTTATTTTGATCACATGTACGGATTTTTTACCACTCCTATGGACTAGTAAACGAGGTAAATAGTTGAATGTGTTTCAATTTACTTATTGCCCTTGAACACTGTTATGCCCACCAACAAGGTTAAAATTATTTATACTTTTGTATGTAAGATATTTTTAGTAATAAAATTATAAATGTTATTGTATTTATGCAAATTTTTTTAGACATTTCGATTAAGGTAAGAAGGACAAATTTAGAAATTGTGAGTATTTGCCTTGATAGATAAATTTCCAAATTAAAATTTAATGGTATAAATTTAATATTGGATATGTATAATTGATTTTAATTATATTCTAAAATTAGGTTAGTACTTCATAAATTTGGAGAAAACCTAGGTAGAGCACGTGACAAGTGTAAGCATGCACCATTGACACGCCATGAATGGTGATAAACAACGGTCCTCCACTGTCATTTATTAAAAAAACAAGGAATAAGGGTCAAATAGGCCATCGAACTGCACATGATAATACAATTAGGCCACTGAACACAAAAAACCAACAATTGAGTCCCTAAACTTATCAATTCCTAACAATTCTTCCAATTTGAAGGTTTCCAACAAGTCAACAGGTTATCCTCCAAATTAATTATTTTTTAAAAAATAAAATTTAAAAATTAATTATTAAATTTAAAAAAAAAAACAGATCGGTTGAATTATGTTTTTTTTTTATTATTTAAATAATTAATTTTTAAATTTTATTTTTTTAAAAATAATTAATTTGGGAGGATGACCTGTTAACTTGTTGGAAACCTATAAATTGGAAGAATTGTTTGAAATTGGTTAGTTTAGGGACCTAATTGTTGGTTTTTTTGGTTCAGTGGCCTAATTGCATTATCGTGTGCAGTTCGATGACCTATTTGACCCTTATTCCAAAAAACAATTACTATTCTTCAACTTTTAATTGTAATTATTATTTTAAAACAACTACCATAGAGATACTTAATTTTTTGTTTAGTATTTAATTTCTGAAATTCTATTTTGCAATTCAAAAAATATATTATTTTATTTATTTAAGCTTATTTTGATTTAAAATCAAAAATTTTAAATTATAATTATAATATTATAATTATAATTATAAAATTGAAATTAAAATTATTGTGAGTGAATAAAGTAATAGATTATGTGAATTAATGATATCCATGGTTTAAATTTAGTACCGGATATGTAACGTTGATTTTAATTACATTCTAAAATTAGGTTAGTACTTCATAAATTTGGAGAAAACGTAAGTAGAACACGTAACAAGTGTAAGCATGCAATACACCATTGACACGCCATGAATGGTGAGAAACAATGGTCATCCACTATCATTTATTTTTAAAAAAATTATAATTCCTCAATTTTTAATTACTTTTATCGTTAATGCTGTAATTATTATTTTAAAATTTTTATTTTAAAACAACTACCATAGCGATACTTAATTTTTTTTGTTTAGTATTTAATTTTTGAAATTCAATTTTGCAATTCAAAACATATATTATTTTATTTATTTAAGCTTATTTTGATTTAGAATCAAAATTTTTAAACTATAATTATAATTAGAAAATTGCAATTAAAATTATTGTGGAGTGAATGAATAAAGTTATAGATTATGTGAATTAATGATATCCATGGGCCCACAAAATTGAGAAAATAAGGATATAAATTAAATGGTCAGCGACGGGGAAGATTGGGCCCACAAAATGAAGAGAAAATCGAGAAGAATTTTGGAGAAAATAACGGAAGAAATTAAATGGTGATCAATGTGGAGCCTACAAAATGAAGAGAAAATCGAGGAAATTCTGGAGAAAATAATGGAAGTAATTAAATGGTGATCGATGTGGAAGATTTGGCCCCACAAAAATTTTCAAATAAAATATCAAAGAAGGATTACATTGGAGTTGCCATTACAAAGGGATAATGATGAAATATAACTTCCAAATTTTATGAAAAATAGTACTAAAAGCCATCAAACTCATAAACACTCCAAGTATTCCTACAAACTAGCAAAAATTACAATAATTAAATCACTTTGAGCTACTTTTACCAATAAAAATTTGGAAATAATGATATGACATCTACATCAACATATTCCAATAAAATTTGAAAATTATATAACATGCTATTATTATTATTATTTCAATATTTTATTTTAAATTAAAATAAATTAAAATAAATAAATAATATAATTTTTGAATTAAAAAATAAAATTTCAAAAACTAAATACTAAACAAAAAATAATAATAATTACCATTGAAGTAAATATTTTCCAAAAAAAAAAAAAAGAATTTGAAAATAATAATTTTAGCCTCAATAGTCAAAATAATTAAAACCGTTGAGGTATATAAATTGTAGATGGCCGCCTTCTCTGGTAGATGATGACAGTTTTTTGCCGGATATGATGCCTGAATTGAAATGACCAGTACTAGCAGGTCCACTACCAATTCTTGGGCTTCATTGCCTCGATTTAACATGTTAAAACCTAAAGGGTGTAATTACACTTTTTAAAAGTTTAACGACCAAGTTGACTTTACAGGTAAAGTTTAGGGGCTTATTTGATCCTTTTTCCAATTATAAATTACTTTATAAATATTGTACTATTATTTTTTTTTATATCGAGCATAATTGTTGGTAGTGGGTGGGAGGGGGGGGGGGGATTTTTAGAGTAACAAAGCATATATATATATATATATATATATATATATATATATATATAATATATATATAATATATATATATATATATATATATATATATATATATATATATATATATATATATATATATATATATATATATTATATATATATATTTTTTATATATATATATATATATTATATATATATATATATATATATGTAGGTGATAAGAGCGTCAAAAGACGCTAGTTTTTAGGAGGTTTTTGGATGTATTTTACACGTGTTTTAGCCCTAAGAATGTTTGTTTCACGAAGAATTATCTTAAAAATAAGGTTTAGCACAAAGATACCTTCCTAATCATACTTTTTATGTTTTTAGGTATTTTTGGACAAGGAAAGTGAAAAAGGAAGATTAAAATGCAAAATCCGGAAAGCACATGGCATGGCACGAGTCATACCCGTGTCACGGCGTATCGGAACCGTAAAGCATAAGAAAATTCGTCACACCACAGTCACGCATAAAGTCGGAGAAAAGGGAAATTATTTCCTATTTACGCCGTCTTCACAACGTAACGGGTTGCGTTACAGAGTAGAGTGAAGACGCGCACGGAAGGGGGAATTATTTCCCACTTACGCCGCCGACATGGCATAAGAAGCAGCGTAACCAGCACGCAGACTTGAAAGTCGAAGGACTTCGTGTGATGGATTAAAAATTTCAAGACTAAATGTAGCAAAACCAGTATACTCGAAAGACCCTATATGGTATTAACTCTTTTGTAAAATTGGAAAGGTATATTTCATCTTTATTCTTTTGTATGGACATCTCCCGTTCTTTTTTTTTTTTTTCTTTATCTCCCCTTATCATATAATTTTTTTCCTTATTTTTTCTCTTCAATCCTCCTCGTCATTTTGTGGGCCCACTACTTCACATCATTTATTACTTTATTCACTTTCAATAATTATAATTTCAATGTTTTATTTTAAATTAAAATAAATAAATAATATACTTTTTGAATTAAAAAATAAAATTTCGAAAACCAAATACTAAACAAAAAAAGACCATTGAAGTAAATATTTTCCAAAAAAAAAAATAATAATTTAATAATAATAATTTTAGCCTCAATAGTCAAAATAATTAAAACCCTTGAGGTATATCAATTGTAGATGGTCGCCTTCTCGAGTAGATAACGACAAGATTTTTTCCGGATATGATGTCGGAATTGAAATGACCTGTAATAGCAGGTAATCTATCGATTCTTGGGCTTCATTGCTTCGATTTAACATGTTAAAGCCTAAAGGGTGTAATTGCACTTTTTAAAAGTTTAACGACCTTATTGACTTTTCAAGTAAAGTTTAGGGGCTTATTTCACCCTTTTCCCAATTATAAATTACTTTATAAATATTGTACTATTATTTTTTGATCGGGCATAATTGTTGTTAGTGGGTGGGGGATGGGGATTTTTACAGTAACAAAGCATATATATAAATTTAGGTCATAAGCGTCAAAAGATGCTAGTTTTTAAGAGCTTTTTGAAGTATTTTGCATGTGCTTTAGCCCTAAGAATGTTTATTTCACGAAGAATTATCTTAAAAATAAGGTTCAACACAGAGATACCTTCCTAATCATACTTTTTCTTTTATGTTTTTAGGTATTTTTGGACAAGGAAAGTGGAAAATGAAGATCAAAAACGCAAAATCCAGAAAGCAAATGGCAAGGCACCAGTCGCACCCGTGTCACGGCGTGACGGAAACGTAAAGCACAAGAAAATTCGTCACACCACAGTCACGCATAAAGGCGGAGAAAAGGAGAATTGTTTCCCATTTACGCCGCATTCATAGCGTAACGGGTTGCGTGACAGAGTAATGTGAAGACGCGCGCG